AAGAAGAAGAAGAAGAAGAAGAAGAAGAAGAAGAAGAAGAAGAAAAAAAAAAATACTAAGAAGCTTTAATATCCAAAGATTTCACTGTTGCTGTTGTGACGGAAGCGTGTCAACTGCAAGCAAGTCGGTTGAAGTCAGATGCCACTGATACTATGTGGTATGATGCTCTTAGATTCTTGTTCAGAAAGACCGAACCGTGTCAGACGCAAGTGGTTCTTTGCTCCTAGTGGTGCAATGCCGAGGGAACGACGTGAAGAAAAAAACAAAACAAATAAAAACAAGCTTGTTTTTTTTCAGATTGTGACGAGCAGCTTGTGCACAACAACCTCTTGTACAAGTTCTGTCTGTAGCATCATGTTATGCATATGTAAGCTACTAATATGTATGTATCATGTTTGTGCATAGGTGACCTAGTACTAGTATCGTGTTGTGCATATGTAAGCTACTTATACGAACTTTATGTAGGTAATATATCCATCAGCATCACACGCTTTGGTGACGTCCCCGCTCTGGCTTGACTGGCAGTCCCTGTCCAGAACCAGCCCCATGCCTGCTCCAGTGCCTCCAGCGCCGGGACTGGATGCGTGGGTTGTGGGAAGGCAGGGGAGTGGGGGAGCCGTGAGATGTCTCAAGAAGTCATTTGGATCACACTAAGTAGTAGTACTACTAGTAGTAGTACTCCTGGCTTGCGTGCAGTCCATGTTCAGAACCAGCCCCTTCTCCATATCTTCCAGCGCAGGGACTAGATGCAAGGTTTTTGGAAGGGAGGGAATCAAGGGGGGTGGGTGTGGGGCGGATGGATTTCTTGGTTTGCCAGTTTTAATACATGTCTAGGAGAAACTCCGCCGAGGATCATGAGTGAAAGGAAGTGGTGCGTGAGCTGGGGAGAAACCCTTTTTCAACCAGAATGTGAAATAAATGGGAGGAGGTACAGCAGAGTCACTTCAAAACAGGAAACCGGAGAACTAAGCAATCAAAAAATGATGTTGAGGCCCCAGATATTAAGGACGCAATGATCTTCGATAGAATAAACCTACTTGCAATGCCGGGGGCGTGAAATCAACTCACTCTGTGACGGGTCTATGAACGGAATCGCTGCTACAAGTTGTCGGGTATGGAGAAGGATAAGGATTAGGAGGAGGAGACGAAGAGTTTTCGACATGGCCATAATCGCACCATCGCGAAAATGGGAAGTTCGAAAAGCAACTCAAAATACACTCTTCCGCAACTTTCCCGTTTTTTTTTGCCCGGCATTTTTGAGTCAATGCTTTAAAACTGCATACCGACCGTCACTTACAAAGCAACTTCCCAGTCACTTTCCCATAGCATTTTGTACAGATACGCGCATCAAATCAGATACTACACCCGCTACGTTGTCATTGCTTAACCGTAACGGGCTGCACAACTCAAAAGATTCCTTATCCTATCCTATCCAACCAACTTAAAAGTGACATGCAAGCAACCTCAATGGCCACTCCGTACGCCCCCACCCACGTGGCATCCAGTATCAACTCGCAAGGCCACGTCAGCGTACATGCACCAAAACGTACCCGCACCCCATTCGTCGGATACACGTTTGGTCACGCAATCGTCGCGTTTCACGTGTCTCCCGTGCAGCTAATAGCACCCCATGTTACTCATTCGCTAGCACCATCTTGCCCATGCCCCCCGAAACATCGTGTGCGCATCTCCGCCGTCCGTCTCCTCGTCACGCACCCTGTATATACGTGACATTTGTAAGCACCCCGCGAAGCCCTTGACAAATATCCTGGGTATGGTACCCACTAGCATGTCAACACGTGGTGTCACTCGCTCGGCGCATCATGCGTCCGCACCCTTTCCAACATTGCATACAGACCGTCCATCTGTCTCATTACCATGGTTTCGTACACTTCGCCCGACCTCTCGCTACCCAGTAGTCGTGCCCACGTGACTAGGTGACGACTCCATTGTGACCGTCCATCAGAATACATCTTCTCGAACACCAAGCTGCCACGTCACGCTCACATCCGGCATCAACCCCGAACACTTGTCTCTCGATCGTTGACTCGCACTCCTAGTAACCGTTGAACCATCTCATCGCCACACTCATTTGCACAATCTGCCGTGAAACAATCATGGCCGTACATCCTACGCATCCCCCGCGAATAGCGTTGCTCGGTTCCAACCTACACACCGCCTGCCAGCACGTCAACCTTATCCTTACACCTTACCCTAGGGTGCCACGCGTCGCGGCGTGCATGCGTGCCAGCATGCCATTGGTTCCAGACCGACACGTATCCATGCTGTTATGCAATCAGTTCTCCACACGTGCGCACATAGGTGACTGGTATCTGCAAAAACCCTCGCGACATATGGCAAACTCCTTGAAACTGCTTTTAGGCAGCTCGCACACCTGGTTTGCGACCGCCGCGCACATTGCACATGCCATTGTATCTATCTTTGGTTATAATTTGCATCACTTCCCCAACAACGAAATTTCCCATTCAATCACCAACATGCACAACATCTCCTACCATTTCCAGAAACAAACGATCACCCATTAGTACCATTCCCACACATGCAAACCCCCCGCGCCCACTAAACTACTCCTCGACACCCGCACAGACAAGCGACTCTTAGGGTAGTCATCATCGCTCCCTCCACCTTTCCCGTCAACTGTCCGCACCACGATGTGAAAAATCCCCCATGTTGTTCGGTCTACTCTGCCCCAACTGACGCCGAAAGGTCGTCATCCCCAACGAGGTCTTCGGACTGAGCTGCGGCGGTGGGCTTCATGTGCTCCAGGCCGCACGCAGAGATGCGCAGTCCACCCCAAATCTACGCCTCTCGCTCCGCGTCATACTCCGGGTTGCGGATCCTGATCGCCCTCTCCAATGCCTCCTTCACGAGGTCCTTGAGCCCATCCATGACGTGGGCGTTCCCGCTGGCCGAGTTGGAGAGCCGGCCCTTCCTCTCCTCCCAGCAGAGGACGCTGTCGGAGACCTGCGCCACCACACAAGACGTCATACTAATGGTTTCAACTCCGGCGCAAAACAACACACACCACGAGCATACAAACTCACCACATGCTCCAACCAGGCCAGGTGGTACACCTTCAGTGTCATCACCAGCCCGGCCTTCTTCGGCTTGAATGCGGCCTTCGCACGCGTCGCGAACGCTCGGGAGGCAAACGGCATGCCATTCCTGTCGGTCGCCCAACTCGTGAGCACCAGACTTTCTGCACACCAAATGCGCATTGTCAGTATCAATGTCCACCAAACACTCATTGCGGCTCTAACAACCCCATCTCAATTAGCCGCCACTCACCAGGGGGGTCAGCGCCAAGCCCAATGCGCTCTCTTATCTTCTCGATACTACGCTCCTTCTCAGGTGCCCACAGGCTGGAGGCATCCCTTTCGTCGCGGAACAGGCCGAGCTTGGGAAGTGCTATGTCTCGCTCGCGAGCGGCAGCCCTGGTCTTCCATTCTGAGAGCGTCTTGTTGAGATCCACACGTCGCGACTTGTCTGCCGCCAGTGCCAAACAAGCGAAGCTATGAGGCAGGCGGTCCAGCACCGAACACACGCCGTGTGTCTTATCGTCGCTGCTCGGGTAGAACGCCATCGTCAACGTCGGCCTGTTGAGAAACATGTGAACTCTGGCGAGCTCGCACACCCTCTGCGCACATAAGGTATACACGAAGGACAACATCAGTGTACGCCACCGACACACTGTTCTAGTCCACTTAGGGGTCGCGGATGCCCATGAAACCGCCTAAGTAGAAACTGACGACTTCAAACCGCCTCTGTTCAAAACGCCGTCACGATCAGCTCCGAAAACATACGAGGCTGAAACTTTGACACCTGTTAGCCTTAGGTGTCTGCTTTCTAACGGTATATTATTTGCTTTTATCAGAGGTGTATGCACTACGCAGTGAACGAAAACGTAAGCTCGGCTGAAAACGTGTAGTTTCATTGATGCAAGGAAGAGGTGAGTACAACATTGCCTAGGGGACTCTTAAGGGGTTGGGTCATCCTGGGAACTCAGAGAAGGTTGAGTCCTAGGGGAGAAAGGCTAGAGAAGGATGAGAAACGTCCTAGCTAGGTCAGCAAAGCCAACCACACTTGGATGTTCAGAGCTGTACTCAAGGCTACCAATAGTGAGTCAAGCCAACCATGAGTCAGCTTGTCTTCCCACTTGCACCCTCTTGCAAGCTGCTTCCAGGAAGACCACACTTCTCAAAAGGAGGGTGGTAGAGTCCCACTTGACCACCTGTACTTCTTGTCTCATGCTGCCAACAGTGCACCATGACTACGAAACAGTGACTTTCGACAGCTGTCACGCGCTGCTGCGATGTTGGATCGTTCTGAAACTTGGTGACCACCTGCACAACGCGGCGTAGGATTGCCAGACCGAATTTCAGACCAATCAGAGCTCGGTAGACGAGTCAGCAGCCGAAATAGTGAACTCGGGTGTTACCAAAAAAGAGTAACACACACTTCCGGGATGCCATAAGTCTTGAAACTTAAAATGTTGTCATGCCTTGTTAACTGCTTCAAACATTTTTAAACTTTGAGGGTCTGATGAAGACATGTTGAAGAACCTCCCCTCAAAATTCCAGAAGCTGAGCAGGCTTGTAGGCTGAATGGGAGTGCGATGACCGTGCCACTAAAGTGTGTGGACACAACAAACTCCCCCTCATCGTGCTCTCATTCACCCCTTAGCTGCTCCCTGAAGCTGCCTCCCTTAGTTGAAGGACATGCCACACAAGGTGGCACAGGTCCAATGCTGATGCTCTGCAAGCCGCTTGGTCAAGAAATCTGCAGGTTGCTTGGTAGTGTTGATGTAGTGCAAGGAGACCGTGCCCTTCTTCACCTCCTTCCTCACCCAATGCCATTTGATATGCATGTGCTTGTTCAGCCCATGGAGCACAGCATTGCGAGCCATTGCAATTGCTCCTTGGCTGTCACAAAACACAGGTGTAGGACCCTCTTGCTCCTGCCCCAACTCCTCAAGCAACCTCCTCATCCAAACCACCTCCTTCACCCCATGAAACAACGCCATGTACTCGCTCTCCGTTGATGAGTGAGCTATCTCCCCTTGCTTCTTAGACTTCCAGCTCACTGGACTCCCTCCAACACAGCATACATAGCCACCATGGGATGTTGCATCACTGATGTCACTTGCCCAGGTAGCATCGGTGAAGCACGAGAGGTACAAGTGTCCACGCCTTGCAGGTGCACCGGTCATCATGCTCACCTCCTCCACTCCCTTTTGCTTCAGCTGCCCATGCACTGAATATTGCAGCCCCACCCTTGAGGTTGCCATGCAGTACCTCACCAGCCTCTCTGCTGCATCAAGGTGCTCTTGAAGGGGCCTAGACACCACACGAGCCAGCTGCGAAACCGAGAACGCAATATCGGGGCGAGTGTTGACCGAAGCATACATCAAGCTCCCCACCATTGACTGGAACCGACGCTGCAACTCGGGCTCCAACACCTCACCCTCCTCTTCATCAAGGTCTAGCTGAAACCCTGAAGGTATAAGAGTCTTCACACTCCTCCCTTCCTCCAGCCCATACCTCTCCCCCATGGCTGCAAGGTACTTGTGTTGGTGAAGCCTCAACCATCCCTTCACCTCGTCCCGCTCCACGTGAAGACCAAGGTAATACCCCACTGGTCCAAGGGCCTTGCATTGAAAAGTCCCCTTCAGCTTCCCTTGCACCTCCTTGATCCTCTCCAGGGATGGAGAGAAGAGGAGAATGTCATCGACGTAGACAAGGAGAAACACCTTCTCCTCCTCCCCCTCGGTCATGAAGAGACTCTCGTCGCACCCGCTAACTTTGAAGCCAAGAGCCTCCAACGCCTCCACCAGCCTTGCATACCAGCACCTTGGAGCTTGTTTGAGGCCATAGATGGCCTTGTTGAGCCTGCAAACACGTCCGCTCCCATCGTCGTACCCCTCTGGCTGCTTCATGTAGATCTCCTCGTCTACCACGCCATAAAGGAACGCCGTCTTCACATCCATTTGCTCCACCTTCCAACCACAAACGGCAGCAGCTGCTGGCAACACCCGGAGCGTAGGAGCCTTGGCAACAGGAGCAAACACCTCCTTAAAGTCAACCCCCTCCCTCTGCTGGAAGCCCTTGATCACAAGTCTTGTTTTGCGCCTCTCCAACTTCCCCTCCGCATCGGTCTTCACACGTAATATCCACGTGCAGTCCAATGCCTTTCTTCCCGGGGGCAGATTGGTGAGGGTCCACGTTCCATTCTCCATGTGACTCGGAAACTCATCCTCCCTTGAAGCCAACCAAGACTCTCAATCATCTCCAGCAAGTGCTTCCTCCATTGAAGCCGGTTCATGAGGTAAGTTGACACCGAAGCAACAAATCTGCTCCATCTCTCCCTCGGCTCCCTTCTCCTCATCATCTTCCTCCTCCTGGACAAGCAATGCCTTGGGACCCCCAAGCCTTTCATACTTGAGGAAATCCCTTGGGTGAGCAGCTCTCTTGGGCCTCTCCTTGGCTGCACCTTCCTTAGCTCCACCACGGACAGCACCACGCTTCCCTTGGGTTGTCCGCCTTGGTGGAAGTGTAGGGGATGGTGTAGGCTGCTGCACCTCCTCCTCGGCATCACCTCTCTCAGCTACAGGGGCCTCCTCTTGCTGCAACTCTCCCTCTACCTCTACTGCCTCCCCTTCAGCACCTCCCAAGTCATGTGACACCTCCGTTGCCTCTGAAGATGAAGACAATTCGATGGGAATGAGAAGTGGGTCGTTCGTTCCCACCTCTATTCCGAGCGGAATGGTGACCTTGCTCCTCCCTCGCTCCAACCACTCCTTGAACATGAGCCCTTTCATGAACTTCGCGTCTCTGGTGGTGAAGATGGTGTTGGCTTTTGGGTCCCACATGAGCCACCCCTTGCTCCCTTGTGCAAGTCCCAAATGAACAGCCCACACCGCCGCCGCTTGAAGCTTGTCACGCTTCTCCTTAGGGACGTGCACGAGTCCCATGCACCCGAAGACTCGAAGCATATCCACCAGGGGCTTCTTGCCTCTCCACTTCTCCATAGGGACCCAATGCTGCCCTCCCACATGAGTCAAGACTCGGTTCTTGATGATGGTGGCATGGCGAATAGCGAGAGGCCAGAACCATAAGGGTAGACCCAAGTCTACCAACATCGTTCTCGCGCCCTCCATGATGGTCCGGTTCGCTCTCTCTGCCATGCCATTGGACTGAGGGGTGTAGGCCGTGGTAAGCTGCTGCTTGATGCCGTGCAGCCAGCTCCGGAACTCCGCTCCCAAGAACTCCCCACCACGGTCGCTACGAATCGCCTTCACCCGCTTGCCGCTCTCTCGCTCCACCAAGGGCAGCCACTCTTCAATGATGACCCTTGCAGCATCACTCTTCTTTGCAAGTGGAAAGGACCAGGTGAGCCTTGTGTTGTCATCCACCATGGTCATGGAATACAGGGCCCCACCATCTCCCTTCACCTTCATGGGTCCCACGAGATCCACATGCACGAGCTCCACCGGGTCACTCGACTTCCCCTCCACCGAATGGAAGGGAAACCGTGAAAACTTGCTGGTCAAGCAAGTCTCACAAGATCCCACCTCCTTGGGCTCCCCCTTTATCCTCAGCCCCTTGACTCTTTCCTCCTTGAACAGCTGCTGCAACTGAGGTAGCGCCACGTGGCCAAAGCGACGGTGTGCGGTGAGCCAATCCGTCTCACCCGTGCTAGGAGTTACACTTGGTAGCGCAGCCCCTTCATGCCCAAGGAGCCCACCATCACCGTCATCACCACCTCCTCCATTGTCCACGTGGTTAATACGCCCCTCTCTCACATCTCCAGCAGCCAAGCGCGCTGCTGCCTCCTTCCATGGCAGCACCGGTATCTCCCACATGGACCGGTGCATGTCCTTGCCGCCTCGGAGGTCCCACAACACGCGCCCATCCAGAGTTGCCTTGAAAACCTTTGTGCCCAACATCTCCATCTTCATCCCTGCCTCACTTAGGGCCTTGGTAGAGAGGAGGTTGGCACACAATCCAGGAACAAGGAGAACACGCTTCAGCCCCACAAGCCTCCCATCCGCACCCATGAACATGGCTCTCCCCTCGCCACGCACGGGTACAACTTGGCCGGTGGCTGAAACGACGGTGGCTGCCTTTGATGGCCTGACTTCATCCAGTAGATCCTCTCGGTTGGTCATGGTCATGAAGGCTCCCGTGTCGATGACCCAATGGGAGGAGCGGTGAAGAGCAACCTTGCTGGCCGACACAACCGTGTCCTCGGAGCATGCCTCTCCTACATGGTAGAACATGCCGCCGTATCCGCCAGCACCTCCATCGCCCTCCTCACTGCCCATGCCTTCTCCCATAGCTCCATGTACACCCTTGGAGCCTGATGGCTGACCAGGCCTCCAACCGTCAGGTAGCTTGCGGCACTTGAACCATGGGTGACCTTCCACATGGCAATACCAACACTTGCCGCCACACCGCTTGCCTCCCTTGTTGCCACGCTTCCCTCCCGAATGCTGCTCCCCTCCCTTGCTGCCACGCCCCTTGAAGCCCTTCATGGCATAGGCAGAACCTCCACCTTCACCGGCAGCGGCGGTCAGCTCCTTCCTCCGAAACTCTTCTTGAAGAACTTGCACGCGAATCCAGGACCACGAGTCCTTCATGCCATTGAGGTTGACCACCAAGGGCCCCCACGACTCCGGCAGCAGGGAGAGAGCCTTGTAGCACTTGATCTTCTCAGGGTAGTCAACATCAGCAGCAGAGAGCTTCACATAGAGGTCCCGGAGTTGATCGAACGCTCCTTGTACGGCATCACCCTCGTTGATCTTCACCGCATGGAGTTGTCGCTCGAGCACCACCACCATCGCTTCGCTGCTGGGGGCATGGACATCCTTCAATATCTTCCATGCCTTAGGACCACACTCAACTTCCTTGATGAGATGCTTGATGTGGTGCAGCTGGTTGGATGAGAGGCATAAGGAGAGAAGGAAGAATCCATCCTTGGACCGGCGATCCCATTCCTTGGTCGCTCCTTCGCTCGCAGGCCTCTTCAATTCTCCATCCATCACTTCAAGCAGCCCATAATGGTTGAAGAGGAGCTCCATCCTGAAGCTCCATGATGCCCAATCCTCCCCAGAGAACTTCTCCAGGTTGAATGCCTTCACATCATCCTTAGCTGATGTTGAAACGGAAGCCATTGGTGCAGATCCGCCTGCAACGCCTCTTCCCGCTTCCCCAGCGCCTCTCACGCCACCACTGCCACTGGGACCAGCTGGAGCAGAACCTTCAGCCTCCATATTCACCCACGAACAGAGTAGAACAGCTCTGATACCACTTGTTATAGTCTAGAGTCCACTTAGGGGTCGCGGATGCCCATGAAACCGCCTAAGTAGAAACTGACGACTTCAAACCGCCTCTATTCAAAACGCCGTCACGATCCACTCCAATAACATATTATAGTAGTTAGCCTTAGGTGTCTGCTTTCCAACGGTATATTGCTTGCTTTTATCAGAGGTGTATGCACTACGCAGTGAACGAAAACGTAAGCTCGGCTGAAAACGTGTAGTTTCATTGATGCAAGGAAGAGGTGAGTACAACATTGCCTAGGGGACTCTTAAGGGGTTGGGTCATCCTGGGAACTCAGAGAAGGTTGAGTCCTAGGGGAGAAAGGCTAGAGAAGGATGAGAAATTTCCTATCTAGGTCAGCAAAGCCAACCACACTTGGATGTTCAGAGCTGTACTCAAGGCTACCAATAGTGAGTCAAGCCAACCATGAGTCAGCTTGTCTTCCCACTTGCACCCTCTTGCAAGCTGCTTCCAGGAAGACCACACTTCTCAAAAGGAGGGTGGTAGAGTCCCACTTGACCACCTGTACTTCTTGTCTCATTCTCTGTCCCTGCACCATTGGCATGACAACAATGAAAGGGTGGCAAGGGAAATGCTGCCAACAGTGCACCATGACTACGAAACAGTGACTTTCGACAGCTGTCACGCGCTGCTGCGATGTTGGATCGTTCTGAGACTTGATGACCACCTGCACAACGCGGCGTAGGATTGTCAGACCGAGTTTCAGACCAATCAAAGCTCCGTAGACGAGTCAGCAGCCGAAATAGTGAACTCGGGTGTTACCAAAAAAGAGTAACACACACTTCCGGGATGCCATAAGTCTTGAAACTTAAAATGTTGTCATGCCTTGTTAACTGCTTCAAAAACTCTGAAACTTTGAGGGTCTGATGAAGACATGTTGAAGAACCTCCCCTCAAAATTCCAGAAGCTGAGCAGGCTTGTAGGCTGAATGGGAGTGCGATGACCGTGCCACTAAAGTGTGTGGGCACAACACACACATCGGTCACAAAGTGCCAAACCCAATAGGCAGTTGAAGTATGGACCCCTACGGTCCGCATATGACGGCCATGAGATCCATGCGTGTCTTCTTCGCCGTCTTCGCTGTCATCATCAGACCCGCCGCTCTAAGTCTCGACATGCTGACGCTTGGGGTTCATACACCCCTGTCCCGGGTCTCTCTGCTTCCGAGCCTTACGCTTTCCAGAGCCACCGGAAGGACGAGACATTGCATTCAAGAATAGCGCCTCCAGCCTCGCGTTCTCCTTGGCGCTCTTGTCTTGAGCCTGGATAAGTTGCTCGAGGACCCTGCTCGAGATACGCACATCCTCGTCGTTGGTGTCCAATGGAGCCCCGCGATTGCGGACATCATGTCCATCCACATGCGCGCGACCGTCACCTCGAAGCACACCCGGGTCTCTCTCTTCGCGTTTGTCGCGAATCTCATCATTGGGCGAAGCCGTTCCCGCACACCCATCGTCGCCCGTCTTCCCTACCGTAGCCCGGCCGCCGGATATTCGGGTGAGCCTGAGGCCGATGTGTCGGAGTCTGCCTCGTCATCCTCATCACTTCGCTGAGACGAATCTGCACTCTCGGCACCCGTGCCGTCATCTGTGAGGGTGAACCATCACCAGAAATGCATGGAACCACATGTCAGCATACGGCGCACCACAGGAAATTAAGAGTTTAGCCAATACACACAACGTCAGTGCATAACAGCATCAACCATCCACGAGCTTCTTGCATACTTTCCTCCTGCTGCACAACCTCCTTTCCCTTATTGGCAATGCTCAAACGCTTAGGCAGGGTCGCCCCTCGCTTCCCGTTAGACAATCGTCCTCGCGGCATCGTCAGTTGATACGACGCTCGCAGGTACGCTGGAGGCAATGAGACTCGACGGGAGCGCCCTCCTGCCCTCGTATCCTCGGAAGCAAGCGAGGTATCCATTCTCGCAACGGAAGTATCCATTGTGATGCTTTCGTTATGACGCAGGGTACTATATTTCTACGTCTAGTTCTCCGCCCAACTGCACATGACCCCACAAACCTGTTTGGTCAAAGAGTTAGGTAGGCACTACGTCGTCGTGGACATTCGGATCCCCGCAATCTGAAGCGACAAATAACTGACCCCCACGTCATCCTCATCGACGAACATGTGTGCACACATAACCACACACTGCGGACATCCCGGTGACCACACGGTTTCCATAATACTCGTTTGTTTATCCATTGTATGTCATCGTCGGGTACGCAGTATACATTAATGTACACATGGTTGGCATTATATAGCACATAAAATTCCTGTCAAACATTATATATGTTGGGTTTGTTAGGCTATAGTGGGTTAGCCTATATGGGGTACACAATTCTAGGGTTTGCTATTTGTACTGATTTCTCTGTTAGTTCAACCATTCCAGTCTCTTCTTCTGACATGGTTTCAGAGCAGGTCCTTCGCTAGGACCGTTCTTAGGGCCCACCACTGAATACCTACCTACCTATCTACTGTCGGAGTGCTGCGTTAGCGCCTCCCCCTCTCAGCGCCCTAGTGCGCCCTCGTGTACGGCCCCTTAAGGCTTCGTTGACCCCGCGCGCCGCCCCTTAGTGACCCGCGCGTCGCTCCTTAGAGGCCCCGTCGACCCGCGCGCGCCCCGCTTAAGGCCCCGTTTGGCCCCGTCGACCCGCCCGCGGCCCGCTTAGTGGCCCCGTTTAGCCCCGTCGACCCGCGCGCGCCCCGCTTACGGCCCCGTTTGGCCCCGTCGACCCGCCTGCGCCCCGCTTAGAGGCCCCGTTTGGCCCCGTCGACCCGCGCGCGCCCCGCTTACGGCCCCGTTTGGCCCCGTCGACCCGCACGCGCCCCGCTTACGGCCCCGCTTGACCCGTCGACCCCGCGCGCGCCCCGCTTAGAGGCCCCGTTTGGCCCCGTCGACCTGTGCGCGCCCCGCTTACGGCCCCGTTTGGCCCCGTCGACCCGCGCGCGCCCCGCTTACGGCCCCGCTTGACCCGTCGACCCCGCGCGCGCCCCGCTTAGAGGCCCCGTCGACCCTATCCGCCGCCCCAAAGCGGCTCCGTCGACCCTACCCGCCGCCCCTACCCGCACCGCACGCGACAGCCGCGGCCCCGCCAGCAACAGGCCGCCCGAACCGAGCCGCCCAGTCCGAGCCGAGCCGAGCAGCCAGAACCGAGCCGCGCCGCCCGCACTGAGCAACTTCTCTGGACCGAGCCGCCCTACCTCCGTCGCGCTGCCCACTGCGTTTAGGACTCACTTACTGCTACTGCTACGGCTACTCCTACTGCTACTATGGCTACCCCGCCTGTACTAGCTTTCGATGCTGAGGGCCGCCCAGTGAAGTTTGATACTTGGCTTGATGACCTGCACCTCTTCCTACAGCTCACTGCCAAGGAGGATATCTCACTGTATGACCACGCCCTCGGCCATGCTCCTGCCCCTGCTACTGATGCTGACAGCACTACCCGCTCACAGTGGCAGACTCGTGACGCCCACGCTCGCTTTGCCATCCGCAACTCCCTGCCGTTAGATGAGCGCGAGCACTTTGGCCAGTGCAAGACTGCTAGGGACCTCTACACCGCTGTAGTTGCCCGTTACTCCTCACCCGCTTCTGCTACGCTAGGCCGCC